CAAGCCACCAAATCCAGGACTTGAACCATGGTTGGCCATGTGGGAGTGTCCAGTCCCCTTAACCATCATGCCACCTGTCGGTTTCCAAACCTTTATCTTGAGGAGTAAAACTTTACAGTACTACAAACTTTTGAGGATAGGAAGCAAGAAGAATGGAAGGAAGGGGACCCAGCAGGTGGCGTGGCGGTTAAGGCACTGGACTCCCACATGACCAACTGTGGTTCAGGTCCTAGGTCTGGTGGCTGGACCATCACACTGGGCACGGGTGCCTGTGTGCCCCAAATTTCAGGAGGAGTAGAGATTGTGGCATGGCCATCCCCCTGGGGGTTTCTTTCTCACTTTTTTTTTTTTGGAGAGATTTTTCACTGTAGGGCGCGTGCGCTCGCCAGACAGACAGAGAGAGACATAGAGACAGAAAGCGAGAAATCACCCCCCAGGGGGGATGGTCATGCCGCAATCCCTTCTCCTTCATTCTCCTCTCGGGATCTTGGTCACGCATGCACACGCGCCCGGCGTGAGTTTTAAGCCACCGGGTCCGGGACACGAACCACGGTTGACTACGTGGGAGTCCAGCAACATAGCCATTACACTAACTGCTGGTTCCCTTTCTCACTTTTCTCTTTCACTCTCTCTTTCTCTCTGTCTGTCTCTGGCAAGTGCACAAAAAAAAAATAATAAAATGAAATTTTAGTTTGTGTTTTATATATGAAGTAACATGATATATTAAGTAAAAAGTACCCATTAACACCTTAAAATCTTCTAATATATTTAATACATTGCAAATAAATAAATAGACTGGGACACATTGAGAAAAAAAAAGAAAGGAAGGAAGAAGAGAGGGAGGGGGAAGGGAGGAGGGGAGAGAGCGAGAAAGGAAGAAAAGGGAAAAAGAGAAAGAAGAAAGGAAGAAGAAAGAAAAAAGAAAGAAGGAAAGAGAGAGAGAAAGAAGGAAGAAAAAGAATAGAAAATAAAAGAGAGGAAGGGAGAAAGAAAAAGAAGGAAGGAAAATGAGGAGGAGAAAAGAACGAAGGAAGGAAGGAAGAAGAAAGAAAAGGGGGAGAAAAGAAAGGAAGGAAGAAAAAAGAAGAAAGAAAAAGAAAGAGGAAGGAAGGAAGAAAGAAAGAACGAAAAAAAGAAACCAAGATACAGAGAAGTTAAGTAACTTGCCTCCGGTCACCCAGCAGAGCTGGGATCTGAAGCTTGAATCTCCCAATGCCAGAGATTAAGACCTTCATCACTGTGCCCTGCTGCCTCCCAGGATGACAAATTCTTGCCTTCTGGGCCTTCAGGGAGGACAAAAAAGGAAGACCCACTAACACCGGATGAGAAGTCTCGAGCATTTGGCATTTGCTCAAAAAAATTGTAGCCAGTATATTTATTGTTATCATGGTTGTAATAGTCTTCCTTTATCATCACCCGGAGGGGAACCTGGGAGGGATTGGGGATGGAGCAGGAAAAGGGAGGGGAGGAGGGGAGGCAGGGGCGGCTGATGGTCCCACAGCCAGTCAAGATGGGTCTGCCGGACTCCAGGGCTCAGGTACCCTCTTTCTGTCCACCCCTGCTGTTTAGACCTGGAGATTTGGAACCAGTGGCTGTCCCAGACAGGCTGAATCCGGCTCCTCATTCAAAGATGCAAATGGTCTAGCTGCCCAGATGCATTTTCCAGACCCAGGGCCTGCGGCTGGACCCGCCAGGGCAGGCCAGCTGCCTTCCCCACATTTTCCCTCCGGCTTCAGAAAGGGAGTGTCTGGGCAGGAGGCAGAGAGCTGGGGTGTCCACATGTAGCTTGGCTCAGCAGGCATTTGCCAGGAAGAGCCCCAGGGGCCCCACTCACAGGCACAAGCCTTTCTGCCCCAGCCTGGCTGGGCTCCCAGAACTGCTGGAAAGGAGGGGCCAGAACTCAAGCCAGGAGGTCTTAGGGAGCAGAGCCTGAGGGCTCCTGAGGGGCTCAGGTCAGCTCTTCTCATTTGGAATCTGTGGTGAGAGCAGGGGATGGGGTGTGAAGGGCTTGTGGGGGGAGAGGAGGGGCGTCCAGTGTTCCCGGTCCTCATCCTGGCTGTGTGACCTCAGTCTGTCCCATCCATTATTATTATTATTATTATTAATTTTTTTTGGAGAGGTTTTTGCTATAGGGCATATGTGCTTGCCAGACAGAGAGAGACAGAGAGACAGACAGCGAGAAATCACACCCCCGGGGGGATGGCCACACCGCAGTCCCTTCTCCTCCCTTCTCCTCTTGGGATATTGGACACGCATGCACATGCGCCCGGCGAGAATTTAAGCCACCGGGTCCGGGACTCGAACCACGGTCGACTACATGGGAGTCCAGTGACATAGCCATGACGCTAACTGTTGGTCCCATTCTTTGAGTAAAATATGAGTATGATCCGAAGGGCCAACCAATGGCATGGTGGTTAAAGCGGCTGCATTCCATATGGCTCAGTGTATAGTTCAAGTCCCAGACCCGGTGGCTTGAGAAACACGCCAGGCACGTGTGCATGTGTGTCCAAAATCCCAAGAGGAGAATGGAGGAGAGGGGATTATGGTGTGGCCTTCATCCCTGGGTCTCTGGGGTGTGCTTTCTCTCTCAATCTCTCTCTCTGCTCCCCCTTGCAAGTGCACATGCCTTAAAGCAAAAAGCCAAAATTGTAACCTCTAAAAACTAAAAGAAGAATGATCTGGAAAAAGTAACACAGTGTATAATTTCCTTTGGTATAATACTGGGGTCTGGCGTAATGGCTATATCGCTGGATTCCTATGTAGTCGACTGCGGTTCGAGTCCCGGACCCGTGGCTTAAACTCATGCCGGGCGCATGTGTGTGCGTGCCCAAGATCCCGAGAGGAGAATGGAGGAGAAGGGATTGCGGCGTGGCCATTCCCTCGGGAGTAATTTCTTGCTTTCTGTCTCTCTGTCTGGCGAGCACACATGCCCTAAGCAAAAACCTCCTCCCACCCAAAAAAAAAAAAAAAACTGAGGTCGGTCACTGAGCTAAAAGATTTCTGTGGGTCAGGAACAGAGAGGTTAAGTGACTTGTCCAGGTCACACAGCAAAGCTATAGGCAGCTGACAGTTGGGCTGGGATTGTGTTGTTCTTGACTCTGTTTTCTTTGTTGTTTAAAGTAGGGTTGGCCAGGGTTATTACAAGGGGTAGGGGAGCTTCAAAAGTTCAATGTATACTATGAAAAAAACTATGTGTAGGCTTCAAAAATTTTTTTAAATAATTTTTTAAAATTTAACTTCACTTATTATTATTATTTTAATATTTCCAGAGAGAGACAACGAGAGAAAAAGAAAGTGAGAAAGCAAGCCTCTAGGTCCAGGACTCGAACCACGGTCGACCATGTGGGAGTGTCCAGCACCTTAACCACCACACTACCTGCTTGTTCCCCCATAATTCTTTTTAGTTATTTTTTCTTTTTTGGAGAGGTTTTTGCTATAGGGCGCGTATGTTCGCTAGACAGACAGAGAGACAGAAAGCGAGAAATCACTCCCCAGGGGGGATGGCCACGCCACAATCCCTTCTCCTCCATTCTCCTCTCGGGATCTTGGGCACGCATGCACACGTGCCCGGCGTGAGTTTAAGTCACCGGGTCCGGGACTTGAACTGTAGTCGACTACATGGGAGTCCAGAGACATAGCCATTGTGCCAACTGCTGGTTCCCCCCATAATTCGTTTTTATAGAATTATTTAATTGTGTTCATCGTCATCAGTATCATTATTATTTTTTAAATTTAATCACAGAGCAACAGAGAGAGAGAGAACAAGCCTCCAGGTCCAGGACTCGAACCGCGGTCAATCATGTGGGAGTCCAGCACCTTAACCACCATGCCTCTTGATAGCCTCCCCAAATTGTTTGTGTCAAAATAATCTTGGAGGCTTTATTTTGCCAGGAACCTGTGGGAATCTGCTCAGATGATTAACAGTAACGATTTTGCCAGGAACTTGGGGGAAATCTGCTCATATGTAACGATATTATCTTTCTTACGAAGAATAAAAACAATGTTACCCTAATCTCTAGGGTGCTATCCTGGCTCAGCAAACCCTAACTGGGCGAGGTACTCATAGTCCCCGGGGTCAAAGTTGGGCCAGAGGTTCACTCCATCTCAAACCTTTTCTGCCAGGAATATTCTGCCTGGGTTCTGGAGAGATTGCCAGCCAGGAGGGCTTCTTGGAGGAGGGGGCATCCTAGCGGGACCTTAAAAGATGAAGGATGTATGAAGTAGCAGGAGCAGCGAGTACAGAGGCCAGACACTGAGAGTGAGCGATTACATGTTGCCGGCATGGTGTTTATAGGAGGAGGGGGTTCACTACCTTGAAGGAGGAGATCAGGACTGGTGGGATCCAGGAGGCAGAAGCATGACGCTAGACCAGACTGCCCTTCCTGGAGCTTCTGTCGTGTGATTTGCAGATGGGGACATTCTCAGGCCCTCTCTTGTGGTTCCTTCTCCCCAGAACGCCCTTCCCTGCATCTCCCCATGGCCCGGCCATGGATAAGGTCATGTAAACCCACACACGGGTCCCGTGCCCAGCCTGTGGCTTCCACGTGTGCTGCAGGCCCAGCCGGAGCCGTGGTTTTCCTGAGAATTCCAGCATCGGCCTGAGCGGCCCCCCGTGTGCTACATGCCAAGGGAAACAGGCAGTGAGCTCACGGCCCCAAGGCAGGCGGCAGCAGGCGGGGCAGGCACTGTCCGGGTATGGGCTGGGGCTGGCTGCTCCCTTCCAGCCTGCCCCTCCTCACTCACCCTCTGTGGCTCCCCATTGCCCCCAGAGAACAGCTAAGTTCTTTCTTTTTTTCTTTTTGGAAAGGTTTTTGCTGTCCGGCACATGCACTCGCCAGAGAGACAGAGACAGAAAGCGAGAAATCACCCCCCAGGGGGGATGGCCACGCCGCAATCCCTTCTCCTCCATTCTCCTTTCGGGATCTTGGGCACGCACGCACACGCGCCCGGCGTGAGTTTAAGCCACCGGGTCCGGGACCCGAACCGCGGTCGGCTACATGGGAGTCCAGCGACATAACCATGACGCTAACTGCTGGTCCCAAGAACAGCCTAAATTCTACGCTGAGGTCAGTTGCTGCAATAAACCCGGCTCATTCCTGCCTTAGGGCTTTTGTGCTGTTCCTTCGACTTAGAACACCTTTCCACTCTCTCTGCTTAGCCGCGTGCTTCTTCTTCTTTTTAAAAATAATTGTTTATTTATTTTATTTTATTTATAATTATTTATATGATTTTATTTAGCTTTATTTATTTATTTTATTTGACCAGAGAGGGACAGAATTAGAGAGAGAGAGAGAGAGAGAGAAGAAAGTGAGAAATTAAGTCACCAGCGGGCTGGCAGGTGGCGTGGTGGGTGGTGGTTAAGGCGCTGGACTCCCACATGGCCGACCACAGTTCGAATCCCAGACCTGGAAGCTTGCTTTCTAAATTCCCCCCCCCTCTCTTTGTCCCTCTCTGGTCAAATGAAAATAAATCAATAAATAAAATTAAATTTTAAAAAATCATCATCATTCTAAAAAATAAAAAAATCAAGCCACCAGGTCCGGGACTCGAACCATGGTTGGTCATGAGGGTGTCCAGTGCCTTCACCATCATGCCATCTGCCAGCCTCATGTTCTTCTTATCTTCCAAGTCCCTCTTGGGACCAGCAGTTGATGTCATGACTATGTCGCTGGACTCCCATGTAGTCGACTGCAGTTCGAGTCCCAGACCTGGCGGCTTAAACCCACGCTGGACACATGTGCGTGCGTGCCCAAGATCCCGAGAGGAGAATGGAGGAGAAGGGATTGCGGTGTGGCCATCCCCCCTGGGGGGTGATTTCTCACTTTCTGTCTCTCTGTCTCTCTCTGTCTGTCTGGCGAGCACACACGTCCTATAGCAAAAACCGCTTAAAAAAATCTTCTAGGTCCCCCCATGTGGTGTCCCCTCCTCCTCTGAAAACCCACTCTGACTCTCCCTGATCCTCTGGGGTTCCTCCTGTTGCCTGTGAGTGCCTGTCACAGCCACAAGCCCCCTGGATGATCTGTGACTCCCCACGGAGCTGGATCTGGCTTAGTCCCCTCACGTCCCCAGCGTCCAACACAGGACAGTCCCCCTAGAAAGTGCTAAAATATGTTTGTGGGATGAATAAAGGTGCCTGGAAATTCCCCCCTCTCCATTCTCCACGCTTTTCCTTCCTCTGGCCTGCCTCCTCCTTTTCTATCTTTCTATCTTTTAAGTCTTCCACCTCCTCCAGGAAGCCCTCAGAGACTTCTCTGCAGTCTCCCAGGAAGATAGATCTTGCTGTGATTCTGGCTTCACTCCTGTCCTGTGAAGTGCCATGGAGCCAGTCACATTCCTCTCTCTGGGCCTCAGTTTCCCTATCTGTACAATAGAGGCTGTGACCACTAGAAGGTGGGGCTGGAGAGGGTGAATGGAGTGTAGCCACAATATTTTGTAGCTCAGGAGTGTGGCTGGGGGGGGGAC